GTGTCACACACGCACGCGTACAAAACCAAGGAGCAAGAAAGAGTACAAACACAAACACAAGCACAAGCACAAGCACATGAATCAGGATGAGGTGTGATTGTCATCATCAATTAAAAGATGACTGCCCAGGGTGTATAGGAGCCTTGGCCACGGCCACGAAGCGAAGTCGAAACGAGAAAAAAGAACATAAGCATTAAGAAGTCGGTCAAAGACAACCAGGTACGGCTACCTCAGACGTGAAAGCTGAGGAAGAGTTTTCTGAGGTTTGTTTTGGGCAAACTCCAGACATACCGAGTATCGTAGCAAATATGCAGGTCCGCCCCTGTATTGTGACAAACATACCGGAAAGGTGCAGAAATATCGTTCTTTCAAAAGTTTCTACACAGATTACTGGGCGGTACCCTCTTTCAAAAACGGTGTTTCTGCTACGGAACCGGTATATTTGTCAAAAACGGTGTTTCTGCTACGGAACCGGTATATTTGTCACAATATGCGGGCGGACCTTCTATCGATCCTTCTTCTTTTTTTTTTTTTTTTTTTTTTTAGATTGAGATGTCCAAGGCAACCAGACGCAACGACCACGGAAAAGAAACGGGAAACAAATTTGGACCATTTCTCGATATTTATGCTTGTCATCCTTATTTGCGCAGGGGCCATGCTAATCTTCTCTTTCTCTGTATCGTTCCTATTTTTAACGGATGTCCCGAAGGACTATCGATACTTCTCGAAACCCGAATGTTTAAAAAAAAAAAAAAAAAAAAAAAAAAAAAAAAAAAAAAAAAAAAAAAAAAAAAACACGAATGTTTGCAATTCGCCCTTAAAAGGGGGTAACCGTTCTTGTCTTTCATGACCGTTTGCTTCTCCTCCTCCCCCCTGTTTTATTCTCAATGCATCTCCTCTTTTAGGGGATAGTAAGATAAGGCAGCCGCTAGCATAATTCCATTTCCATCTCAGTTCCAGAGAGGGAAAAAAAAAGAAAGGGGGGGGGAAGAGCGCGCCCATCAGTCACTTACGTGCCGTCGAGGTAGGACAGAGATTGAGAGCTGGCGAACCAGAGGGTGTCGCCGGAGCGGTCAACCTGCAATGCAAATAATCACCAGAAGACCAGTAAACACGTGGCACGTCAGCCAGACGAACACGTGGCACGTAATTCGGACGAGCACATTACACCATTGAGGCCAAAGGCGAAAAGCAAGCAAGCA